TTTTTTTTTTTTTTTTTTTTTTTTTGAGAAGCAAAATCCACTGCAGAGCAACGAAGTGATATTTTTCCATAACTGAATACCATCAAAATTATTCTCTTCTTTCTCTTTTTGTGATGTTGGAAAATTTGTTGGGTTCGCTTAAAATTACAAAGAAAACAAGTTGGTGACAAAGAATTTTTCGTTATGATATTTTTAAAGACCAATAAGAGATGAGGTTTTGGTTTTTTTCGTCACTTTTTACACATTTTTGCTGTGCAGAGCTAAAGCGCGCAAAGGCGCTGGAGCTGGTTACAGTGATCTCTAATCGATTTAGCAGGTGATATGCACCAAATTTTTGGATTCATAGCACGTTTTGCCCTATTTGTCTTATTTGGTAAATTTGAGATTTACAGTTCGGAGTTTTGTTTGCTTTACTTCAATTTGTAAAATTGGCGTAACTCTGAATCTAAGTGATAAGTAATGGTAAAGTCAGTGCTACATGAAACTGTTTGGTGAACTAGTCTTCCATAATTTCCAGTTTATAGCACCAAAATTAGAAAAGCTAAAAATCAATGTATGTAAGCCAGAAATCTGAATGAAAAGTTCAAAAGAAAAGAAATTTCTTTTTAAGTAAATTTTCCGAAGCAGATGATTTTTGCAGCAAATCCAGAATGTGGTAAGTATATGGACAGCCGGTCGTACAATGATCACAAAGAGAAGGTAGAACATTCTGGTTTCTCCACAGTCAGTGAAAACTTCGTACATCTTTCACGTTTTGTCATCCAGTTGTCAAGCGCTTTATAATTCAGTTGTACTGCAATCGTTGTTACAAGTATTTGTTTGGGCCAAAAGGTGTCGGATATGGTGTTGGCGCCGGTGTGCTGCTCACAGCCAGTGTCAGTAGTGGATCTTCGAAAAAACAAACTTCATCTAAAGCCGGTAAAAAATTTCCAAAAAACGCCTTCCACGGTTTAAGGATTCATTAGTAAGGCTCCGAATGAGTAAAAAATGCCGCTTTTCAACAAATGTTAAAAAATTGAAAATCTTGAACTTTAGCTGATGATCTGTGTTTTATAGACGATATAGCGACCGCGTCGTTTTTGTATACAAATGAAAAGAAAACACAAAAGCCAGGATACATCGAGCGAGTCGATGAAACATTTTGTGACAAAAAAGACCTACAATGCGGAAGTTTGCTTTCTTCAGATCACTAATCTTTCTGCATCCCGTTCAGTTTCTGTTTTTTCTTAACCGCCAAATGCGCAAAGGAAAAAAGGATCCAACAAGGATCCTGCGAGGACTCGTTCGAAAAATCCTGAAAATTCCTCTTTTTTTGTAGCTTCCTCTAAAAAAATCATTCCCTGACAAAGCCATTTTTTTCAAAACTCATTTTTGACTAACCTACAAGCTCATAATTTTTGCTGTCTTACCTTCTCAAAATTTAAATTCAGCTTCCAAAGAGTATAATGTCCTTAGTACTAATGGATTCATGTTCAGAATATGGTCATCGTTAAAAATGTTTGAAGTGGCCAGGGAATTCTTGAAGTGTTCTGCATGAGATAATAGTGTTTGCCATATAATGTTTTGCTCGACGTGCATTGTTGCAGACAGCGTTCCTGTGGCAGGAAACGAAAGCAGTGGAATGATAAAGAAATGGGTAAGTACCACAATGATGCCAGCAGCGCACCAAGCATACTATGGTAATCGAAAAGGCCGAGACCACCAGTATGAGTGCAACTGGACTCTTAGAAACCTGGGAATTGAGAGAGCCTACGCATATCCGAAAACAGTGTGGACACAATTTCATATAGCCAAAACACTTTTTATGAGTTTTTTGCAGCTATGCAATGCTTGTCTGTATGTGCCGTCTGTCTTGATTTTTCATTTCAAGACCCATAAAAGCTGCAGGGCTGAAACCTTGTGAACTTAATCTACATGCACATACGGGTCCCAATCTCCAAAGTGGGCGCCATTACCCGCGTGGTACTTGCGTACGGGCCCGCCAAAACTTTTTTCGGGTAGGTTCATAACTCGGGGATCTCAGAAGCTAGAAAGCTGAAATTTTAGACTGATGTTCCCCGTCCAAGTGGATATTAACGAGCTCAAACCTTGCCCGCGGGTAAACGTGGTACCTACGTACGGGCCCGTGAAAGTTTCTTTCGGGTAAGTTGCTAACTCGGGAACGTGAGAAGCTAGAAGACTGGAATTTTGAGGGGATTTTTCCTGACAGTCCTTGCAGCCAGTGTGAAATTTTTTTAGCTATAAGCATCTGCTGGAAAAACCAGTGCCGATAGTAACAAAAATCTGCGGAGAGCTATGCAAAAAACGCATCTTCGCAACGGCAGCCCATGCGTTGGCCAGTTATTTGATAT